TATGTGTATATATGTGCGTATGTGTTTGTGTATGTATGTGTCTATATGTATGTCTGTGTATGCGTGATTCGAAGATTGTGGCTATCAAAATCGAAATTTGACGGCGCTCGAATTGAAGTTTTTTTTATAAATGTCCAATTCGAAATGTGTGGATTTTTTATTCGAAATTTTCAAAATTCCTGTTCCTATTCACGTGCAAAGTTCAGTCAGTGTGTTTACAGCTAATATATGAGACACGGAGAAACTGCATCGTAAAATGTCTTCTTACACATGACACTTAAGTCCAATCCCTCTATTCTACTATTTCTTTGCTAAATTTAAGTTCGATCTGTGTTTACAGCTAAGGGATGAAACACAGAGTGTTACATCGCGTAAAATATCTTCTTACACATGACACTTAAGACCAATCCCTCTGTTTTACTATTCAAGAGGTTTTTTTTTTGGTATATTGTAACTTCTGACAGTTCCCTGTTCTGGCTTGTGTAGAATTGGGGAAATTAGTTGTTTCTAATGTTGAACCCTTTCCCTTTTGCTAATTTTTCACTCGATGTGAACATAGAAATCGTAAATATGCGCCATAATTTTTTTTTTTTTGAACTCCCTTCCCTTTCTGTGAAATGAGCAAGATCCCGACTACCGGGGCAGCATGAATTGCTTCCAGATTCTAGATAAAATCTTTTTCTTCCTCCTCCCTTTCCCTTTTCCGCTTCATCCCACTCTTATCCCTCTTAATCCCCTAATCATATCGTTTCCCATCCTGTTTCTTCCTGTCGTCTTTCTCTTTTCTTTTTCCATTAAGCACTGCGACCGTCATACTGCCGAGGCCCTGTTGTGCGGTGTTGAGTTAAGACGTATATGACTTAATTGGACCGAAATGTCTTATCTCACTTTTACCTTCTTTTCTCATACTGTTCTGTCATGCTATAATCTATCGCGCCTTCGCCATTTAGTTACTTCCACGATCAACCCAGTTGCTAAAATCGGCTTTTCAAAATTTCTTCAACTTCGGCTTTCTGAACCGTAGAAGTCTTCCTTCTTTTCCCCTCATTTTTAGTGCCGAGGCGGGTAACAGGCCACTTTTTTTTCCCTCAGGCAGTTATTGTTTTTGTTCCCAGGCAGTGCTTTTTTCAGGGCCGGCTTCACCAGGTGGATTATGCAGTGGAAGCGATGAAGCAGGGCAGTGCCACTGTTGGAGTGAAAAGCAATACACACGCTGTACTTGTGGCACTTAAGGTTGGTACTGTAATGAGTATACCGGTGTTTCAGGTTTTGTTCAGTACTAATTGCAAGGACCGTTCATCTGTCTCCTTTCCTGACACTTTTTTGTGTTTTGTGCTGTGTAACGGCATTACAAAACGCATATTGTCACGGGGTTGTCTGTGTGTGTTTGTGTGTGTGTGTGTGTGTGTGTGTG